TGCACAAACCAAGGTTGAGATCAACTACCAAATTGATAAGTAGGACCAGTGATGAGAACCAAAGAGACTGCCCTCAGAACTGTAGCATGAAGATTGGCAGAGAGCCAGCTTCATGGCCCCAGTGGTCTTAGGAGGGCTCCTTGGGTCTTAGCTAAGCCTAATGTTTATGTAAAGTAGACTTAGATTCACTTATGTTTTCCCGGATGCCTGAGGGGTCACCAGGGAAGCTCAGCAGTCCTTTGTGACTCTCTTGAGTATGTTGTAGAAGCCAACAAAACACAGAGCACCCTCTCTGGGGACAGTTTGCCAGAATCAGTTAATCAAGCTTGAGAAATCAGTTACCACAGGCCTGAGAATGCCACCACCTTAAATTCTGAAACCTTGTTTCTCATGTACATCTTTTTTAAAAAGTAAGACCATATTTGGGGGCTGGAGAGGTGGCTCAGCAGTTATAAGGATGTACTGCTTTTGCAGAGGACCTGAGTTGAGTTCCTAGCACCTATGTCGGGCAGCTTACAACTGCCTGTAATTCCAGCTCCAGATGACTCAACACCTTCTTCAGGCCTATGCGGGCAATGCAGTTATATGCACATACCAACACATACATGCACACATATCTACATAATTGAAAATAAAAGTAAAATCTTTAGTCAGGTTTGGTGACATATACCTTTAATCCCAGCACTGGGGAGGCCAGAGCATGAGGATCTCTATGAGTTAGAGGCCAGTGTGGTCTATGTTGTAAGTTCAGGACAGCTCAGGCTACATAGTGAGACCTGTCTTAAAAAGATGGTATTCTGGGGCTGGAGAGATGGCTCAGTGGTTAAGAGCACTGTCTGCTCTTGCAGAGGATCTGGCATTCCCAGCACTCACAGGGTGGCTAACAACTGTCTATTAACTCCAGTTCCAGATGACCTGATGCCCTCTTCTGACTCTGAGGGCATTGCACGACATGGGTGCAATATATGCAGGCAATATATTCATACATAGAAAGTAAAAATAATAAATAAAATATCTTTAGAAAGATGGCATTCCCTGAAAGCTTTCTATAAGCCAGTACCATTGTTTTGCACACTAGAGACAACAGAGATAAAGAACCAGGAACATCCTTGTCCTGACTCAGAATGGGGATGGATTCTGGAAAGGAAAGCAGAAGTTGCTGAAGACCACCAAGGAAGGGCTGGCTCCTCACCCAGGTGTGGGTACGGAGAGGTGATGGGGAAGGACTCCCAGGCCAGTAGCAGCGGAGTAGAGATTAGGCAAGCTGTGAGTGCTGGAGAAAGTATTCAGGGCAAAGGGACATGACAGTGAAGTCCTAGGTGTAGGAGAGAGTACAATGCATTCCTAACCTGTGTCCTGATCCAGGGCATTGCCAAGCAGATGAGGAGAGGTGAGAGTCACTGGAGGCCCAGCAAGGAGGTTGGGTAGACCTCTGTGAGAATTGGGCTCTGTCCTTAGGGTGCTGGGAGGCAGGAGAACGGTTGGTGGTGGAATATTTAGATATTTGGTTTAGTTGGACAATTTGGTGCTCTGTGTCAAAGGAGGAGAGTGGGGCAAGACTGGAGCCCAGGACGCCAGCTGGCGTTGCTGCTGTGGTCATGCAGGAGCAAGAGGAGAGGAGCCTGTTGACTGGCGAGGATTCTGGAGTGGGATTCTTTCCAGCCAATAACTGGAAATGTGTGTAAGGGCAGGAGCGAGCATGCTATGCTTTGAAACATTGAGAAATCCAGTGCATAGGACTGCCTCCTTTTTGGAAAACTGATGTGGAAATGGCCCTTTGACTTTTGTTACCTGACTAGAAGGGTTCAAGCATTGCCAAACCCTCATCCTCTATTGGTAGAACTTCTCTTGCATTGATCGTTCTGTTCTTTTTTTTTTTTTTTTAAATTATTTAGCTTTTAAATTTTATGTGTATGAGTGTATTGCCTGCATGTAGGTAAGTACACCCGTGTGGTGCAATGCCTGCGGAAGTCAGAAGAGGCTGTCAGATCCCCTGGGACTGGAGTTACAGACAATTGTTAGCTGTCATGTGGGTGCTGGGATTTGAACCCGGGTCTTCTGCAAGAACAACCAGTGTTCTTAACCCCTGAGCCATCTCTCCAGCCCCGATCATTCTGTTCTGATATGGAGGGGTGGGTGAGAATTGTGCAGGTGGGCAGGATGCCGAGGTGGGCAGGAGGGACTATTTGCATACAGCACAGCCAGAGAACTTTCTCTGACTTGATGGCCTCTTTGGTGTGGTCTCCTGGGAGCCTGGGGTAAGAAAAGAATCAAAAGACCTGGAAACTCAACTTTTAGAAAATGTTCTCCAAGAAACTCTCCTTTCTTCTCTCATCTCATGAGGACTCTGTAGAGTTCTGTCCCCTCTTTGTCTGAGCATCTCTGCCTAGGGGTCCAAGGAAGCAGTTCTATATCTACATTTCGTCCCAGAAACCAACACTAAGCTACTCAGGTTTTGTCCTTCCAGTTTGCCCTTCCTACCTTTCTGGAAACTAACAATAGAGTTACTAGAAATCATGAAATGTCCTGTTTGGCCAAGACGTAACTATTTCTCTGCTGGAGAGTACCATAAAACAGAAAAATGTAAGCAGGAACTCGAGTTTCTTTGGCATTGACATCATGCCTCATATTGCTTTGTCAAATTACTTCTGTAATCTCATTTAATCCTTAGAGTACCATACAAGGTAGCTGTCCTTATGCCCTTGTTAGATGAGGAACTTGATGCTCAGAGACCATAAAACCTGGCCTATGGTTGGGCAGCTGGGGCTAGTGCATGCCAGGGTTCTTTCTGGTGGGTTAGTTTACCACTTAAAAACAATTCAGTCATGGACTGGAGAGATGGCTCAGAGGTTAAGAGCACTGACTGCTCTTGCAGAGGACCTGGGTTTGATTCCCAGCATCCACATGGTGGTTAACAACAGTCTGTAATTCCAGTTCCAGGGGATCTGATGCCCTCTTCTGATCTCCTTGGGCACTGTATAACACGGGTTATAACTGTATAACACTGACACACATGCAGGCGATACACTCATATACATAAAATAGAAATAATACATTTTAAAAAAGACAAAAAACAGCTTGGTCATTTGGTTGTCACTTCCTTGAGGCCAGTTGGCATTCCAACAGGGAACTGCAAACCAAGGTGGTACTGCTATAGGTTTTCCTCTTGGTGCTGGCCTAGGTCTCTCTCTCTTTCATTTATTTATTTTTTTGAATGAAGCATTCTGGGTAGTCTATGCCCTTTTGGGGTTTGCTGAACAAACAATAAAGGAAAAGGTTTTAAACTGTGACTATCTCAGAATTTATGATTTATTGCATTACTAATGAATGTTTAGAATTACTGTGCTAGGGCAATCCCTTCTTCTGGACACAGCAGATTTCTCCACCTGCCTTTTTTGTTCTAGAAAATTTTTTTTAAATTTAATTTAGTTTTATTTTATGTATGTAAGAGTGTTTTGCCTGCATTACTGTAAGTGTACCCTTGCGTGTATTGCTCATGGAGGCCAGAAGAGGGTGTCAGATCCCCTGGAACTGGAGTTATGGATGGATTTTAGCCACCATGTGGGTGCTGGGAACTGAACCTGAGTCCTCTGCAAGAGCAGCCAGTGATCTTAACTGCTGAGCCGTTTCTTCAGCCCCTTCCTAGAATTTTTTTTTTTTTTGTCCTTTTGAGGCAGGGTCTCCCTGTAGTCCCAGCTGGCCTGGAACTTACTATGTAGACCAGGCTTTCCTTGATCTCCCAGAGATCCACCTGCCTCTGCCTCCTGAGAGTTGGGACTAAAAGTGTGCACCACCAGCCCCAGCCCCTTCCTAGAAAGGGTCCTATCAGAGTCTGCCCCTTGGGCTCATGGAGTTTGAGTGCATTTTATTTGTTTCCATGAGTGGTTCCTGTATTCACAGCTCCTTTTGCTGTTGCTTCCCTATGTACTAGAAGGGCCCTGGAAGGTACAGTTGTTAACAGAGCCATTTCCTAAGTAACGCTGGTTTCCACTGAGGATTTGTGACTACCAAGTGTCGACAGCCCAGCTTTAACCTGTGCACCTCTCACTTTTGGCACTTTTCATTTTCTGTCTGTTGTCCAGCTTTAACTTCAGCCTAATTCTTTGGAATTATTCCAGCATTAATTAAATCCAGCTGTGGGCAGGTGGGACACAGAGTATTCTCTCACCTGCTTGCTAGAACCCCCTTTGCCCTAGCATGGTGGAATACTCCTCCAGGAGATATTTGTGACACTGGAGTAGTAATAATCCACCACGTGCTCAGGTACAGGTAGAGCAAGGTCAGAAGCGTGCTGCATATGTCCCGCCTTTGGGAGCCTGTTGTCACAGATGCTGTGTTTGCCCAGGCCTTGCAGGCTTGCTTCTCTTTGGGATACTGTTTTCTTTCCACAGAGACACAGCATCCATTCGTCCTTATCACCTGGGAGCCAGGTGCAGTGGCATTTCTTCAGTGCTTATTCACAGTCATCCAAGACATGGCGTGCCTTTCCACCTGGGGACACTGCCTTGCTGATGATGGTGCCATTTATCACCTGAAGGACCCGTTGTGACCTGATGAAAATTTTGTCTGCAGCAAATGTTAGAGAACAGAATAAGTCAGTCCAAGCTTGAGGCAGAATTTCCAAATACTAATGACATTTCCTGGTAGGGGAGGAGACAGGCCGCTGGAACTGCAGTGTTTTGGCTACCTGAAGGTGCTTCCTCAAATCTGTTGTCAGAAGTACAGGTCTCATTCTTAAATGATCACACCAATGGGGCTAAAATGATAAGGACTATTGAATCGAGCTTCCAGTCTGCTACCAGTAAGCCTCCCTGAAGCTGTATCTGCCAGAGATCTTGGTGGCAGGGAATCCAGGACTCGTGACCCTGTGAGGAGCAGCCAGGACAGAGTTCTTGGGTGTCAGAGGTGTCTGGTGAGGGGGCTGGAGTCACAGCTCTCATTGGAATAGGACTTCAGGGCAGTTAACTGATAGCTTTCTCTCCTCTTGTTTTATCTTTCAGTTAATGACCAGCCAAAGCGTCCCTGCTGTGAGCTCTGGCCACTGCCTCCAGAGCTCCTGAGCCACACACGCAGGTCACCGTGGGTGCCAGCAGAGGTAACATGGCTTGTTGGCCTCAGCTGAGGTTGCTGCTGTGGAAGAACCTGACGTTTAGAAGAAGGCAAACGGTAAGCATGACTTCTCTCTGGGGTTCTCAATGCTTCCTTCATAGGGTTGGTCTAGGGTTGGAGGTGGGAGGGGAGGGTGCGTTCTTGGTCTTCACAGTCATTGACTGCGTCTGGCACATGGTAACACAAGGCTGTGTGGTTCTGATATGGCTTCATGGCTTAGCATGGAGGGAGGATTTGCAGCTAGATAGGAGTGTTGACCTGGGTTTGTGCTGGTGCCTGGGCATGGGTTCTGATCTCTGGAAACTAGGAGAAAATGGCCCCTGATCACCGCATTCTTTCTGTTCACTGTAGTTCCAGTTGGAGTCACATATGAGCACCTCATGGGCCCCAGTATTTCTGGGAGTTGGCATGAAGTAAGGTATTGGAGGAGGTCTTAGAGAACAGTGCCTGGATTTCTCCACATTGCTCCAGACTGCCTCCCTCAGCTTTGACGGTAGCCTGGAGGATTATATAACTTAAACTTGTCATTTCTGTGGGAGCTTCTAAGCCAGTTGCTTCCCTCATGGGCCAGTATTGCTTTGAGGACTCTGAAAAGACTGCCTTTAATTCACAGGTGAATCTCATTTTCCATTGAGGAATGTGAGGGCTGTGGGGCAGGGCAGGGTGAGCTCCCTGAGGGTCTTTATCCTGATCACTCTTCCTCAAGGATCTCATCTGACCCTCAGGCTTAGCATAACATCTCCATAGCTGGCTTCTAAATCTCTGTTTCCTGTCCTGCCTTTTTTTGAATTCTAAGCCTACATCCCCATTTGGCTAGCTTAAGGAAATTCAACCTGTCTGTAACCAAAATAATTTTTTCAAACTCAAAGGCCTAGAATGAACCTTGAAGAGAACTTAATTCTGTGTTTCTCAAAGTAGAATAGTGCTTGGAGAGCCTTTAGAAAAGGAAGCATGCAAGACTATCCTTGTGTTTATTAATTTATTATTTATTATCAATTTATTATCAACATAGGTAAAACTAGATCTATACCCCTTACACATATAGGCTGTGATAAAACTGTATGTCACGTACAGATTTACACATTACACGAAAACAACAATGCAAGAACAATGCAATTCAAATTATCACTGTGATTGTGGAAAGAAAACTGATTCTGTTTAGCTGAAATACCAATTAAAAGTTGCAGAGTGGAATAAAACTGTGAGTGAAACAGTGCTGGTCATTGAGTTTGGCCAGTCTGTATCCCTGTGTGCTAATGATTCTATTCTTCGTCCATGTTTCTGCTTGAATAACTTTCATTGATATCATTTGTCATTTTTTTAGTCCAGTCCCATCATTCATAAATTGAGTCTGCATCCGTTCCTCTCATTAGCCGGTACTGGTACCAACACAATTGGGTACACCACTTTAAACTTGAGTTCTGAAGTCTTGTGCCAGAACTTATGCTAACATAACCATTCAGAAAAATCCAGATATCTGTAGCAGAATTTGTTTGGATGAGTATTGAAATGAAAACACAAAGTGTTTGGAGACCTTGTGGAGAACTCCAGTATAATCCTTCAAATGCACACATATACACAATTATATGTGTACATACACATCCGTGTTTACCACTATCCATTTGGGAGAAGTTGGTTTTGTTCAGCCCTTTGTGTTACAAATGGGGATTCCGAATTGAAAGTACCTAGCAAGAGAGCAAGACTAGAATCTATTTGCCTTTCTTAGTAACAAAAATAGCAAAGCATATTGCATCATGCTACACTAATATAATAAAATACTTAGAATGAGCTACCATGAGCCAGGCACAAAGTATGTTATTTATTTTGGTTTTTGTATTGCTGGAGATTTATTGCAGGACATTGCACATTCCAGATGTTCTACCACCGAATAACAACCAACCAGACAACAAAGTGGGTTGTTAAATTGTATTATTTCTTCTTAAACTCCACAAGGAAGTGTTTCTTATGGTACAGATGAGAAATTTGATGTATAGAGAGTTAAGCAGCTCGTCAGAGGTCTACACTGTGAGTTTGAATCCAGATAATCTGATGCCAGTGGTGGTATTCTATATCACTATGTTAGATTGCATTAATTAATTAGTTAATTAATTAATTTTGAGGCAGGGCCTCTGGATTGCTGGCCTGAAACTCACTATGTAGCTAAGGTTGTCCTTGGACTCCTGATCCTCCTGGCTCTGCTTCCTTAGTTCTGGGATTACAGGTGTGCACCACCCCACCAGGCTTTTAGATTGCCTTTTAATGGTATCATTATTTTTTTTAACCTTTCATCCAAAAATCTTGAGGCTTCTAATTTCTCCCGTGCCTTGCCTCCTGCCTCCTGCCTCTTGCAGTTGTCCCTGGGTCCTGACATTCCAGAATCTGTTGTGTTTTCTCTTATCTTCATTCCTTAGCTACTGTGTGGGCCACATCCCCTGTTTCTCTTCAGACTTTCCTATAAGTGAGACATTGTCTCTGCCTTGATATGTCCATTAGTGAGTCATAGAAAGGAACATATCATTTTAGCAATGAAAAATGGAGTTCAAGGTAGCCTATTCCATTAGATTTTACAGATTAAGAAACAATGCACAGAAGGGATTTCCTTAAGGCTGATCAAGTGGAAGCTGATCTGGGACGAGAAGCTGAGATCTCCCTATGGTTCTTCTCACGGACTCCTCTTCCCTGTCCTGAATCCTTCACAGCTGCAGTGCAGTGCCTAGCTTGGTGGAGGGGGAAATGGGACAGAAGGGGTTTGTGTGCCCAGCCAGGAAGGGCTCAGGAGCACACTATCCAGGAACAGGATGTAGGGTTGAATCACCTAGCCTGGGCCAGTCTCCGCTGGATTTGAGCTTGTTGCTTCTTGCTCAGTGTTGTTTATGCATTTATCAGGATCAGGATTAAAGAGATAGACAGACTTAGTCAAAGGTAATTTATGGAAGAGCTCTTGCTGGAGAAGGAAGTAGGGACACAGCTCTTGGACACAAAAGTCCATTTTTACATATTACACTACTGCCTGCCAGCCTGTTTGGGTCATCTCCCTTCCGGATTTCTAAAGGAAACCCATTCTGCTGAATCAGCAAGAAAGGTAGTTGATTTCCAGTCACAGTGACTTAAATGGTCAGAGCAGGTGTTGGAAAGATCTGGCCTGCTTCTTGTGCAACTGATGGAATCGAGGCTCTGAGGGAGGCAGGGTCAGTCCAGAAAGTAGCCCCAGAACCAATCACCTGGTGTCCCTGAAGTCTGGGCCCTTTTAGCAGACATCACTTTAGCCTCACTACTGGCTGTCTGGCTACTTCTATTCCATCTGCTTGAGCTTCTCAGTTATATTATTCAGGCCTTTGGTGCCACTCTATTAGCTCACAGAGTCAGAACCAGCCCTGCCTCTTATAAAGGGGAGGAACTTAGAAGCCCTATGATAGACACAGTGCTTAGAAATTTATTGCATGTGTCCTTGCTCCTGAGAGCATCCATATCCATGGCCCAGAGTCCAGGACAGAACCTGGCACTTAGGACACACATAATAGTAAGAATTTACCCAGTGAGTAGTAAGCGTTTTTATTGGTCTGTTAGTTGAAAAGTCTAGAAGAAGTTCTCAGGGATCTTGTGTCATATAGCCAGGAGGAATAGAAAGAGTATGTAAAACCCAGAGTTGAGCAATAAACCCCAAAGCAATCCTGATGTAAGGCAGCTTTGCCCTTGTGTCCTTGTTTGCAGATGATCCTTACAGACCCCCCTGTGTCCTCTTATTGTGCAGACTCATGAGGACCATCAGCCAGGGTTAGTTTTCTGATGTTTCTGTTGGGCAAAGAATACATTGAATTGAATTGCAAAATTTGGGTACGAAGTTCAGTTTGGGTCCAAAGTACCAGTCAGCTTGTGTGGGCAGCAGCCATTCCATGCAAACAGGTTTGGACAGGAAGGGGGCAGGACTTCAGGGTCTTAGGATCTTCCTCTGGCTTTAGGCTTGATCCAGAGACCAAGGTCTTCGTGAAACAGGTGTGACAAAGTGAGTGTGACTAAACGGCCTCTTTGGCTTTAAAGAAAAGTAGCTAATTCAAACTTTTTTCATAACGTGGAGAACTACTACTTGGGCATTCTGGAAGTGCCAAGGAATAAACTATAGAAAATTAAAACTTCTGCTTCCGGAGCCATTGGAGGATTTTACAGAGCAGATAGAGACTTTACATCCCTTCCTGGCTTCCAGTTCCTTAGACACATTTCCTCCTTGTCCTCAGGCCTGGCACAGCAGCACTGGCCATGGTTCTGACCCAGTTTGGCCAGCCTGTGCCTCAGTGGCTTAGGGATACTGGTGTTAGCAGGCAAAGCTTGGGGCTTAAATGTTGTAGATATATGGTAGACAGAGAAAGTAGGGGGGATGTGTTACTAGGTCAAGTAGGAGAAAGAACCCAGTGACCCTAGAGCTCTGCAGGAAGAATGGCTGGAGATGAGTAGTGATAGGCAGGCCCAGATCATCCAGGCTCTTGCAGCCAGGAAAGAGCAATTGACTTTTATTTTATGTAAAGGAGTCCTTCAAGTGTGGTCACTGGGGTCATCTTCTGGTTTTTGACAATGGAAGCATATATCAGTTGGTGCTCTGTTTTATTTTGTTTAACACTAATTAGTGTATATGACCTCACATTTCCAAATAATCTTACGGTAATGATTATTGACTGCACTTGGTATCTTTGAACATTCTTTTATATCTATTAATTTCTCCATTTCACAAGATTTCTGTGATATCTGTTCTACAGATGAAGAGAATATTGTTAGTAAGTTAGTAAGTGGAGTGGCTAAACCTTTTGGCTCCAGATCTGCCATGGAATGGTGCTATTGACACTCCAGATAGCTTACAGCAAATTTTCAGTGACATTCTGTAAGCTCAGACCCTGTTGACAATACAGGTGTGGTGTGGTTACAAATACACTACTCTAAGGATTTTGTACGTGTAGCCTTTTCTTATTTTTGTGTTATTTCCTTCGGTCAGAATCTCAGGAGTAGGAATACTGGACCAAAATGCAATAGCCCTGGAAGTGTGTGAGCAGATGTCCTTCCAGAGGATG